ACTCAAAAAAACCAAAAAACAAACAAACAAACAAAAATATCCACAGCATTTTACTGCCTTTTTTTTTAAGATCAACTTTACCCACTTTTGGAGTGTGGAGTGACGGCTATCACAGTACAAACAGACTGAATTGAGTTAAAGTTGGAGAAGGAGGCTGAGAATGTCACTTTAGGGGTGCTCCTCCATGTGGAGACAAAGGAGTGAGGAGTCAATGATTTCTCCCAACTGCTTCAATCAAATAGATCTTTTATCTGAATTTCTTGGGGATCTGATCTTAGTCTTGTGACTTCTGACTTCATACATGGTGATTGTTTCCTCATGTGTTTTGAAATTATGAATTAAGAATTTTTCTTAAGTGTTGTAATTTCTGTGGAAATTTGATAGGCCTGTTGGAGGATATGTTATTCCAAAGACACTCTGCCTTTGCTTTTGTCTGGTGTACTGAGGACATTATGTTGTTTGAAAACAATGCATGCAATCTTCCTCATTTTGTCTTTATTTTCATACTGTTTTAAATTATGTGTAATAAATATAATTTCTGGGTCATTCCAAGTTCCCTTTAATTACCTTTCCTTATTTCACACACTGCAAAGTTTAATTTAACCGTGGTAGTTTTAATAGGTTAAAAGACATTAAGTTGGTTTTAATTTATGCTATGAAAAATAAAAACGCTAATAGGAAATATATTCCATTAAAAAAAAATCTGGTCTTCCTTTGCTTCTCTGGATGCCCCTATGGCCCACTGTAGCATGTATATCTGACTACCATTCCCTGCTATTCCCTAATTAACTCTGTTCTGGAAAGCCAGACTTGCTGCTGTTTGTTTTACGTTAACACCAAGAGGGGTGGGCATTAAACTCTTTATGATAGAGGTCTGCAAATTGTCCCAAGTCTGACACAGCATCAGCTCAAATGCTCTCTACTTGGATTTTTAATCATCTTTGTTTTGACCGCTGAGAATTTCTCTTACTTTCTTAAGAGCTAAGTCAAAGGTCATTTGCTTTATTTTATAAAACATAAGTATATAAGTATAATATTTATACTTTTTTTTGGTCCCTTTGTTAATTGTAGCTTAGGTTCTGGGGTACATGTGCAAATCATACAGGATTGTTGCATAGGTACATAAATGGCAAGAATATTTATACTTTCTAAATATACTTTTAATACTCATCATATGTATAATAATTTTGTTAGTATTTAAATAAGTAGTGGGAAATGTTTCAAATTCTCTAGTCTGCTACTGTTAGGTCTTCAGATATCCGAATTCTTCTGCCTTTTCACTTGACTAAACCAGAGGTCACATCTTTAAGGAAGCTGTGAGGCTCAAGCTTGAATTAAATACCCTCTGCTCTTTACCCTCAGTGCATAGATCTAATGGCCTATTTGCCCTCATGTGTTTCCTCCACTGAATTGCAAGCTCTTTGAGCCCATGCCTATTTGGTGTACCCCAGCTTGACACTTAGTAGAGAACCAGCTATTTGTGAATGAATGCATGTCTTCTCTTGACTTGTTTGCTCATTATATTTTAAATCCTTTCTCTTGGCTTGAAGTTCTTTGTCTTCTCCACAGATTTTTGACCTTTAGCCTTTATAAATTTTCATTGATGCCTAGCAATAAAGGCTCCCACTGGGAGTAACTTCATACTGGTTATCAATTTATTAATGAAAGCCTGGCAACTAACTTGTTTTTCACAGTAGAATCAGAAATTCTTTTCCTAAAGACTTTTTTATTATTTAGTCTGTTTTTTTCATATTACATTTCAGCTCTTATCCAACTGAGGATTCTTTTAAAAATGCTATATGATTTTTCTATTGACCTTCACTAAAATTACCTTCTTCATTATAAAAAATTCAATTTTATGTCAAGTACAAAACGATGGGAATCTATTCTTTTACAAATGCATAGGTATTTGCTGAGTACCTTAAAAGTACAAGGAAGAATGCAGAGAGATGCTGGTAGCTTAGGAAGGCTGTGTGATTCAGGTGGGGCATGGGAGAACTAAATGTTTCTAGAGGATGGAGCCAGAGTAGAAAAAAAGCAGCAGAGGTTCCAAAAAACAAAGTTACTAATGATGGGTACAGTCCTCTCCTCATCTTCCAAGGAGTGTTACTGATTCTTTTCTGTACCTTTTATTTTTAATTGACACCTAATAATTATACATATTTATGGGATACAATGTGATATTTCCTGACATGTATATATTGCATAATGATCAAATCAAGGTAATTACCTAACCTATCATCCCAAACATTTATCATTTCTTTGTGGTGAGAACATTCAAAATCCTCTCCTTTAGTTATTTTGAAATAAAAAAATAGAATATTGTTAACTGTAGTAACCTTACTATGCCATAGAACACCAGAACTTATTCCTCCATCTATGTGTAATTTGATATCTGTTGACCGTTCTCTTCCCATCCCCCACCCCCAACCCCAGCTTCTGGTAACCATCTACGCCATACTTCTATGAGATCAGTTTTTAAAAAATCCAAAAATTAAGGAGATTATGTGGTATTTACATTTTTGTGCCTCGCTTATTTCACTCAATATAATGTTCTCAGGTTGATTTATGTTGCTACAAATGACAGGATTTCATTCTTCTGAATGGCTGAATAGTATTCCATTGTGTATATGCACCACATTTTCTTTATTCATTCATCCTTTTATGGACAATTAGGTTGATTCCATATCTTGGCTATTGTGAATAGCTGCAATAAATATCGGAATGCAGGTATCTCTCTAACATTATTTCATTTCTCTTGGATAAATACCCAGTAGTGGGATCACTGGATCTACTTATTTGTTCTTTATTTAAAATTATTTTAGTTTTTAGAGATAAAGGTCTCACCCTATCACCTACACTGGAGTGCAGTGACTGGATCATGGCTCACTGTAACCTAGAACCCCTGGGATCAAGCAGTCCTTCTTCCTCGGCCTCCTGAGTAGTTAGGACTAAAGGCATGAGCCACCGTAACCAGCCAACTTATTTATTCTCATAGGCTCAGTAGAGCATCTTCAGTAGCTATTTCTATAGGCTTTTCTGGAGAGAGAGAGAAAGAAAGAGAGCAGTTGTAGCTGAGGTAGAGTTGTTGTTGACCACGTTTCATGGGAGATCAGTGAAATCTGAAAGTCAGAATTCCTGACTTTCAGAGCTGGCTGGTAAAGGGGGATGTTTGCTTCTTACAGTTATATGCTGATTGGTATCTTATAAAGCCTAAAAACACTCATACTGGGTAAGGCAAAAATAACATGAAGTGAAAATGTGAGAGCTAGCTCTGAAAGTAATTAATGTAGGCTATATTAAAGTTAGAAACTGTTACGAGGGTTGGCATGGCGGCCCACCCTGTAATCTCAGCACTTTGGCAGGTGCTGAGGTGGGTGGACGGCTTGAGCCCAGGAGTTCAAGATGCCACGTCTACAACAAATACAGAAATTAGCTGGGTGTGTTTTGGCATGGGCCTGTGGTCCCTGCTATTTGGCAGGCTAAGATGGGAAGATTGTTTGAGCCCAGGAGGCATAGGTTACAGTGAACCAAGATAGTGTTACTGCACTCCAGCCTGGGCAACAGAGTGAGAGATCGTGTCTCAAAACAAAACAAACCCTGTTACAATAGTTCGTGGTTAGTGTTTGTTTCTTTGTTTTTTCTTTAGCCATGCAAGCCTGTCCCTCAGATTCCAGTTTAGGAAGAGGAATCCTAAAATTGGGATTGCCGTTAGATAACTGAAAGACCAACTTAGTTCCTGTGGCTACTGCCTAAAATCCCTTTTGCCCATCATAAACACACCTCTGCACAGCTGTGTGCACTTGCACACCAACACATACACTTAAAATGAGGAAAGCAAGAAAGAGAAATTACATATACCATTTAGTCAGATTTCTTTTGATTAAGACAATTATAATTTTGATTCTATTTGTAACTCGTGGTTTTTTATTTTGAACAAATGGTTTGTGAACTGAAAACGTTTTTCTGGGCTACAAGCTGAATGTAGTTTAAAACTGTGAAGACTATTTTCCTCAAGTTCAAAGAATTTATTTTAATTTAATGTTATGTGCCTTAAGAATAGAAAATCATAGCATGACAGTTCCACATTTCAAATGTAAGAATCCTTGTTTGCCGAGAAGACTACAGAGCTAACAGCAACAAAGCAGGTTCAAGAGCTGTCAAATGTGTCCCTTTTACATAGGAAAGGTTGGTGTCTATCCGAATAGAATATTGAAGATCAGAGACTTCACATGATAACTTTCTGTTTGTCTGGAGAAAACCTTGAGGACTTGATCACTGTATGTAAGATAATAAGCAAGTCTTAAAAAAAAATTCCCCACCTACCTTTTATTTTACCTTAAATTCTCTATTGATTTTTTTCCATTTATTTTTCTTTAGCCACTAAAAATTTTAAAAACTGTTTTATTAGTCATTTATGGTCAGGAAGGAAGATTAATTCTTTAAATATAACTAAAACTCTGGCACTCTCTAGTGGTCAGATAATCTAAAATATTGTTCTACATGAGCTTATAGTTTACTTCTTCCTTTAGCTTTATGAATTACACATAACCTAGATATTCTGCCCCCCATGAAGATGGCATGTCTAATGGCAAAATAATGAAAACAGATATTCTGCATTTACTCATACTTCCACACCTCTAGACTAGAAGCATAAGATACAGTGGTGTCGGATTCCCTGAAGGCATTTCCTTAGCTATTACCAGATAACTAAATTAAGAAATGTTAACTGCAAAAAACTCAGACAATCCAAACCTGCTGGATGAGGAAGAATATTATGGAGAAGAATCTAGGCTAAGGAAAGGATTATATTAAACCATATTTTTCTTCAGCTAATAGGATCACAGGTTAGCTTAATTAAAGTCTCTCAAACTATTGCATCCATTCTCCATGCAAAAAATACAAACTCCTCTACTAATTCCCCACTCTTAATATTCAGAGCCCCTTAATAATCACACAGTATTCATACCTACTTGTTCATTCTTTTTATTTTTACAAAGCATGGCAAAATGAGGAAACCACTGACAAGTGAAGAGTTTGCACAGTGGAAGACCACCTTGACCATCTCATGACTTTATACAGGAATCAGGTGGGTAAGTGTTCCTTTAAAGTGATTTTGTCGTAGAAGAGTCATCTGAAATGACTCTTATGATGGAGGAAAGGAAAGAAATGAAATCAATATTCATGATTATTTAAAATGACTTAAAAGCTAAGTGTAATATACAGAGTAAGTCCTTTTCCTAGTATAAAAATAGTGCCAGAAACTATATTTGTACAAATACATTGAAAAGGTATAAGAATACAAATAGTTATTAACAGTGGCTAGTGATGCCTCATAAGGTTTTCTTTTCCTAAACTGTGATAGAAATTTATATTTTCAACTATTTACATTGCTTTCAACAACATTCATTAAGACATGTTTTCACAGGCTTATGGTAAGTATATGGAATGGCAAAGTGAACTTTAATACTTTCTTCTTCCCTCTCTGTAGTAGAGCAGAAGGGTCCAAAACTGTGCACAATTTAACAGTCCAGAAGAACTGTGTAACCTTTACCTTACTAGCATATGGAGAAAATAAACTATATACAAGAATACAAAACTCCTTAAAGTGTTCAACTATCAACATGTTAAGTGATTCATACTTGCAAGATAGGATGTTTGTTCACTGGTAGATTCTTACTAAGTTTCAGGTAAAGAAGGTGCATAAAACATACGTTATTGATGAAAATTGAAGTGATGCAGTACATCCCATGTTCTCACATTAAATTGGCAGTATCAGAAGCTGATAAGTCTCTTCTCCAGCACCTCGTTCAGGGACCATGAGCTCCTTAAGGTCACTGCTCTGTCCACAGCTGAGCACAATTACTAACATGTGACAGGGACTCAATAAAAGGTGGGTCAATGCATGTCTGACACAAAACAATTATATTGTGTCACCTTATTTTGACTATAGTTGTTCATAAGAGAGAATAAAGATGACATTTTTATCCTCTTGTTTTAAATCAATCTTATAAACAAAAGACAATTGCTCCTGATGGCCTGTTAAGTTTTAGGAGTACAATCTGGTGAAAAACAAAGAAAAAAATTATAAATCAAAATTGGAAGAGGTCTAATATTTGTGTTGCTATGCTGAAAATAAAGGCACTTCACTGCTAGGCAAGAATATATCTGTGACTGAATAGTTTTCTCCAAGAATCCAGTATTTCATTTTTGGTTCTGGGGTACATGTAAAGAACATGCAGGATTGTTGCATAAGTACCTACATGGCAAGGTGGTTTGCTGCCTCCATCCCCATCACCTATATCTGGCATTTCTCCCCATGTTATCAGCTATTGAAACTTCTGTATGCTTCGTGAAGTTCTCGTGCTGTGTTTTTCAGCTCCATCAATTCATTTATATTCCCCTCTAAGCTGTTTATTCTTGTTAGCATTTCATCAAACCTTTTTTCAAGGTTCTTAGTTTCTTTGCATTGGGTTAGAACATGTTCTTTTAGCTCAGAGAAGTTTCTTATTACCCACCTTCTGAAACCTATTTCTGTGAATTCATCAGCCTCATTCTCCATCCAGCCTTGTTCTCTTGCTGGTGAGGAGTTGTGATCCCTTGGAGGAGGAGAGGCATTCTGGTTTTTGGTGTTTTCATCCTTTTTGCGCTGGTTTTTTCCCATCTTTGTGGGTTTATTTAACTGTGATCTTTGTAGTTGGTGACTTTCAGATGGGGTCTCTGGGTGGATGTCCTGTTTGTTGATGAAGAAGTTATTTATTTCTGTTTCTTAGTTTTCCTTCGAACAGTCTGGCCCCTCTGCTGTAGGACTGCTGAGGTCCACTCCAGGCCTTGCTTGCCTGGGGCCCACCTGCAGCAGCTGCAAAACAGTAAGGGTTGCTGCCAGTTTCTTATTCTGCTATCTTTGTCACAGAAGGATACCCACCAGATGTCAGCCTGATCTTTCCTTTATGAGGTGACTCTTTGGATATATGGAGGTCAGGGAGCTGCTTGAGGAGACAGTCAGTCCTTTATAGGAGCTCAGGTGCTGAGCTGTGAGCTCCATTGTTCTGTTCGGAGCTGCTGAACAGGTATGTTTAAGTCTGCTGCAGCAGAACTCATAACCACCTTTGTTTTCCCAGGTGTGCTGTACTGGGTAGGTAGGGCTTTATTTATAAGTTTCTGTTATGCTGCTGCAATTTTTTCAGGGCTGCCCTGCCCAGCAAGGAGGCAGCCTAGTCACTGTCTGCCTGAAGAGGCTTTGCTGAGCTGCTGTGGCTGCCATGTGTACTTCCCTGCAGTCCTGTTTATATGGGTGTAGTTAGAACTGCCTCGGCGATGGCCGTCCACCTCTGTAATGGCGGACACTCTCTGTAATGGCAGGCTGCCTCGGTAATGGTGGGCTGCCTCGGTAATGGCGGGCTGCCTCGGTAATGGCGGGCTGCCTCGGTAATGGTGGGCTGCCTCGGCAATGGTGGACCACCTCAGCAATGGCAGACTACGTAGGTAGTGGCGGGCTGCCTCGGTAATGGTGGGCTGCCTCGGCAATGGTGGACCACCTCAGCAATGGCAGACTACCTAGGTAGTGGTGGACTGCCTCGGTAATGGCGGACGCCCCATCTCGGCAGAGCTGGACCATCCTGGATTCAGCTGTGCTTGCTGTGAAACTCTCAATCCAGAGTGTTTCAGATTGCTGGTCTTTGTAGGGGTGGGACCGGCTGAGCCTGATCACCTGGCTCCCTACCTCAGACCCCTTTTTTTCAGTTGAACAGGTAACACTGTCTCCCAGGCATTCCAGTCGCCTGTTGAAAAGGAGCCCGGATTTGTGTGAGTTATTGTGTGGAGACCCGCCATACCACCTGAAACAGCCATGCTGGAGACTTGTGGCAATTTTTCGCCCAGAATCTCCTGGCCTGGCTCCCTGTTTCAGTCCCCTTTTTATCAGTTGAATGGGAGACTCTGTCTCCCAGGTATTCCAGTTGCTTGTTGAAAAGGCACCCAGATTTGTGTGAGTTTTTGTGCAGAGACCTGCTACACCGGCTGAAACAACTGTGCTGGAGACCCATGGCGCTCCTCTGCCCGGGAATCTCCTGGTCTGTGGGCAATACAAATCCATCTGGAAAGGCAGCAACCACTCACCCTCTCTGCTTTCTTCCGGAGCTGCAATCCAGAGCTGTTCCTACTCAACCATCTTGGATCCCTCCCTCACAGGTGATTCTTAATAATACACAGGTGTTTTACATATACACATAACTCATGAATATACAAAGTAGGCAGCTGTTAAATGCCTAGCACTAATTATAAACTACAAGGTATCTTCCACAAAGGAGCCATGCGGGCAGGGTAAACTTAATGTTTCTCAACACAAAGACTTCCAAGACTTCTTTCCCAGGGTATTTCTTAAAACTTACTTAATATACAGTGCTAGGTCTGTAGCTAAAATAGCTTGCTTGATTATATTCAACGTGGTCTTATATTCTTCAATGGAGAGGCCACTGATTGCCCTTTATAAAAAAGAAATCTGATTGCCCTTTATAAAAAAGAAAGCCAGCGTTAGCTCTCTACCTGGAGAAGCTGCTGACAGTAACAAAATCTGGAAATATATTTACACATTGTAAACACATGCCCAGTATTCTAAACACATGAATGTGTTTAGAATAAAGGTACACTTAAATACCATGAAATAATGTTTCCCTTCTATGGTCCCAACCATTGTCATACATATAAACAGCTTCATAATGCTTCATCTGCTGACATATGCATGTTTTTCCGACTCTCATACTCCTTAAGCCTTAGTCCAGACTTAAAATTTAATAGCTATCTTTTCCATAGGGAAGACTAATTGCTATAATCTAACAGCAAATAAAACTTTGAAAAAAATCAAAGCCATATTAAAGGATATGAAGAATGGAGTGGTAAAATTTTTAACAATTGATTATGAAAAAAGTCACTTCTCTATGGCATTTTAAATAAACCCAGTAACATTTTTGGTGCAAATTTATATAATTTTTACTTAGTTATGGTAACAGTGCATATTCCTTAAGAACATCTTAATATAGATGGGTAAAGGGCATGGGCCAAAGGGTACTTACTGGTTAGTGGTAAAAGAAAGCCATGAGTTGAAACTTCTGTAAGAAATATTTAAAAGGTAGCTAATCCATGTGCAAGTCATTGAAAGTTTTTACTATGTAACATTTTTTATTTCTTGTCTGTAATTTAAAGCATAGTGGTCCTCTAATCTTGAACTAAGTAAAACAAACAGACCAGGCACTCGGAATATGATCAAAACAACATCTGTAAATTGTGTCAGTTGTGCTTCCTATATCTTAGGGCCAAGAAAAAAACCTGAAGCTTAGGAATGAGATCTGAAGGCAAAAGATTTGTTATGAAGACAGGGGAACTTCTGGATATGCTAGGCTAGGGCCCAAGCACATTGGTTAGAGAATAACTAGATGCTGAAATTGGGGCATGGATCTAATTAATGACAATAATCTATAATTACAACCATAAACATTATTTTTAAATACTAAATCATTTTAGATTCTAGGCTAAACAGAAAACTGTTCAGAAAATACCTTCTGATACTTATTTGAAGATAAAAAATTACAAGTGGAAAATGAAATGAAATTCTTATTTTTTACTCCCAAAGCTGAGGATATAATGTCTTGTGTTATTATGCTTACAAAGATAGAATGTATAGCTAGGCCTTATAATTTGAGCCAGCCATATATACAATCAGATTCCTTACAGGTTAAATAATAACCTATTATATAATAAGTTATATAGTATCAGAGGTCAGTTGATAGGAATACTGTTAAATATGCTTTTAAAAAGTTAGCATATTTTCTTTATTTGGAGCTAAATTTGTAATGGGATATTAAAATGAAAGTTTTAGTGGAAACATGCAGATAGCAAATTCTAAGAAAAGTACAGATATTTATACTATAACAAGACATATACATTCCTGAGAAATTTCAGTTCTGAAAAACTGTACATTAAAAGTAACATGGATTATGTGAAACAATGGTACTTGGAAAGACCACTCAAAACCTGTGCAACTTTGTAACCAGAGCACAAACCAAACCAGGAATTGGTACCTCTGGAAATAACTTGGACAGGCCAGTCTGGCAGGTCTGGAGGCTGCCTATGAGGACATTAAAGATGGACAAAAACAGTGGAAATGCTGGTTTGTGGGGGCCACACGGCAAGGCATATAGAATTGATCACCAGACAGTAAGGCTGCTATTAAGGTGGGCACTGAAGGAAGAGCAAGCTACTGAGAGCCTACAAGAGTCTGAAGCAAGGGAGAGAGCCTCAGGTGCAAGTGCTAATTTTTAATATTCCCAAGATACAATGGAAAGGGCTGTATGCACAGGAGCCAACAGGAGGGCTTTTTTCTTTCTTGCTGAAGGTCAGAATTCAACTTCTATACTTCTGGCACCTCTCACCCCAGAGAAGTTGTGTATGAAATGATAGAATGTCTATAGTACACTAATGCTACATTCAAATACCTCCCTTCTACACATGAACTAATTCATATTAAACAATCACATGAGGGGCATGGAGTTCCCATGTATGCATCCTATCATTT